AATTTAAAAGATGTCAACTGAGGCGAGAATATTCTCAATGAATACCTAAAAGCTTCTTGCATATTTATGTCACAGTTACGTAATTATAGCAAACAACAAACCTAAAGGTTGCAGACATTTTTTTAAAACTAATGTTTTTCCACTGAATTATTTAACTGTATTTTTGTTGCTTGCAAAGATCTTAGCTTTAACACTTTATTAGAAAAGATTTTTAGCTTAAACATATTCATCCTTCTAAAAATATCTAGATTATCACTATCCAGGTAAACTAGATAAACTCAAAACAGTAATTTCTCTCATCTGACAGGTTTGATCTAAGTTAATCTAAATGCAAAAAAAAAAGTTTTTAATAAAGCGTTATATTACTTATTTAAAATGGGCAAATTAACTGAAGGAGGGGTTGCTCCTAATTATTAATCCCTTATTCTACACATTAAGCGTGCAAATTATGATACTTATAGTTGAAAAAATGCATTGTAGGGTGTACTAAACCCTTTACCTAAAAGTTATGGCTGTTCTGTAAATGGCAACCAGGTTAATTTTTTTTTTTTTCTTTTTTTTTTTTTTTTTTTTTTTTTGTATGTATTTAGGTGCTCCCAGAAGTCCTTACGGTCTTATCATAGAGCACCGCGGGAGAGCATTTAACGGGAAGTTCACGCCTCCTTCCGTACCAATGTCAATTGTTAGGCTAGAGCTGACGTCGAACCTCGGACCTCTGGATTCTGAGCCAGAACTCTAACCACTGCGCCACGGCTGCTCACGGCTGGTTCGGACAACACTACCATCTGCACCCAATTCACTTCTTGATTTTGTTAACTGTTCTTGTAAATCTGGTTGTACTTATAAATTGGTGTTTCTGTAATCTAAATAGATTCACGTATCTATCTTTGTTCGTGTCTGAGAACAGATCTGACGATGTCAGTTTTTGATAATGATAGCAATGATGATAACAAACTTGTTGAATAAAAAAAATTAAGTTCATGCAATTTTATCTATTGATGCTTTAGTTGCTTAATTCTTGTTTCACCCATGCTAAAAAAAAAACTTAAATTTTTGTTACACCCGTGCTATATATGAGTACTAACACTTAAATTTTTGTTACACTCATGCTATATACAAATACTAACACTTAAATTTTTGTTACACCCCCATGCTATATACGAGTACTAACACTTAAATTATAGTAACTAAAATGAAAACCTTTTAAAACAAGCCCAGAACGAATAAGTTTTAAGAAGAGAGGTGCCATTGAATTGAAAGAAAAAAATTCTCAATTCTTGGTCTAAATTATCTAACTGGCTGAACTAAAAAACCCAAGTTTTCTAACAGAGTTAGCTAAAATTCATTTATGGAGGTGAAAACTGATTTTATTTTTATTTATTTATTATTTATTATTTTCTTCCTTAATCTTTTATATAATATAACTGATTCCAATAGTCAAATCTATTTGTAAATTTGAAAATGAATTATCTAATTTAGAATTTCGTCTATGAAACAGAAATGCTATAATTTTTTTCAATTTTACCACATTAGTGTTCAAACTTAAAGAATTAAGAGAAATTCAAGACTAAAGCATGATAAATTGAGTTATTTTAAAACCATCTTCAAATTCTGCATCATAGACTGGATTTTTTATATGCTCATCTTTAAAACTACAAAATTTTACCCCACTATCAAAAGTTATCCTTTATTAAAAGTTAAAGATTTAGCGAGAAAAAAAAGTTGCTAAAAAAAGTAATAAGTTCTAACTATAATATATTAGTATATCGTAAAGTATAAGTTTATGACCTAGATAAGGATCAGATTTTGTTTTCTTGTCTTCATCGCCTCTTTTAAATGTGTACCGAAAGTTATCTAAACATTTTGGTCAATAAAACATTCTTTTCATACCTAAAATTTTCGTCGCACCTGCGTTACCTGTATGAAATTAATGGATTATTGAATATACTAATTAATATACTCTTATTAATATAATTAATACACAAGATTACTGAACTTACTGATTAATATATTTAACAGTACCCTTTTGCTATCCGAACTTTCACACTGCTTACATTTCTATGATCTCAACCTTAAAATCAATGCAATTGTTATCCGAAATTAATGTCACATTACCATCAAGGTGCAAATAAACTGTTTTTTGAAATTTACCAATGTCACTGACTTAAGCATTCTTGCAAAATGTAGAAGTCAGTTTTTATTTGCTTTGCTATTTTTATATTAAGTTGAAAAATTAGAATGAGCTTATTTTTAGCTAAAATCATTGATTCTTGAGAAGTTTGTACACAAGTATTATGCAAATTACTTTTCAAACTGTGAAAGGTTGTTTGAGCTATAGATAAAGACATTCATATACACGCAAAAAGTTTTCAATTGTGAAGATCCTTGAACATTCTCACAAAAAGCAATAGCTGCCCTTTTATTTACTTTAGAACTTCTTCTTGAAGTATGAGCTATTTCATTCATACATTTTCTTCCTAAAGTATGAGTTATTTCATTCATACATTTCTTAGAGAAATAAAACTTTAAATTCCAATTGCATTCACGTTAAAAAATTTTGAAAAGTTATGCTAGTTGTTCAATATTTATGATTTCAATACAAGCAGAAAAATCAACCAATTATGGTTACTAGCAGGCCCGTCTTTACGCATGTCCAGCCTAGGCAGCCGCTGCGGGGCCAGGGCATTTAGAGAGGCCAACAAGGAATCAAATTTCTTTCTAATAAACTTTAATAATAAAAATAAAAGTGCAATTTTTCAATTAAAATGTTTTTTATTTACTAAAACAACTATAACTCCTACATAAATAACTTTTTTAATTTTTTTTAGCCAAGATTACCCAACAATTGAATTAGAAAAAAGTTATCTTTTCACAAAATTTTTATACATTATACTATCGGGTTTAATGTATTTCGACAATAAGAAAAGTTTACGAAATTAAGCAAATACAAATATATAAATAATGGCTAGGGCAAGAAAAAGACAAATTTAGTCTTACCACTAAAGTCCTTTAAAATAAAAGTGTCAAAAAAAGAAAAGAAAAAAAAAAGAAAATATGTGAAATGTGTATATAACACAAAAATAAATGTATATATACACAAAAATAAATAAATAAATAAATATATATATATATATATATATATATATATATATATATATATATATATATATATATATATATATATATAATATATATATATATATATATATATATATATATATACACACACAAAAGTGTAATATATCCAAAAGTATATGAATACAAATAAAAAAGACTTTTGATATAGTTTTTCTTTACTTGATTTACATTTAAAAACCTTTTGAATTTATAAATTTAAAAGGTTTGTAAACTTAAAACAAGTTAAGCAAAATTGCATCAAAAACCTTTTGCATTTGTATTTATTCATTTGGATATATTACACTATAATATTGCTTAAAATATGTTTCTTTCATTTTATTATTTAACTATTTATTTGATTATTTATTTGATTATGTTTCTTTCATTTTAATTCTTTGTTTTGTCTCAAATCTATTTGAGACAAAGCAAAGAATTTTTGAAATATCTTTTTTTATAAAAGTTAAGTTTTTTTAATCTATGTTGGCGAAAGAAAATTTGTTTGTTGCATTGTATATGCCTGGGATGAAACTATGTGACGGATTCAGAATGGACATTTTTTTGCATTTAGATTAACTAGCCTATCCGCCTAGATCCGTCACTGCTCTGTTGAGCCCGTAAATACGACGAATTGACGTCTATTGAGGTATCAGACTTTATTAGGAAAAGAAAAATGGTTTCTGAGGTTAAAATTTTTAGTCACCATGGATCAACTAGTAACTGAGATTGAAAGGTGAAGACAAGCTTATGCTTCTCTTGTTTTGGATTCTTTGTCCGTCTTTTAGATATGGATTCTGTTGTGATCACAGCGTGCGCTAAAAAACTTTTTTAAATTTTCCTAAATTATGTCGACATTTATATTCTGAATAAAAACTGCATTGCAAGAACTTTGTTTCCAATTTAGTTGAAACTAATATTAGTGAATCCAAAAAAAACAAATCATTTCAATTTATTTTGGGTTATTTAATCAAAGAAACTTGAATCTAGTCTCAAACGTCAATGTTGTTCTAAGGATGTTTTTCTCTGCTTCTCTTACAAATTGTTACAAAGAAGACTTTTTTTTTAAACTTCAAAAAAGTATTGAAAAAAAGGAAATTGCTACAATTCTAATACTAGACAAAAAAAATGTCTTTCAGCGCTTTCAGCATTTACTTGTTCGTTTTTGGGCAATGCAGTCGTTTTAGTTAGCAATATATTAGCATATAAAAAAATCGACTTGAAAAACGAATACTATTATTTTCGAGGAGAGGAGGGGGGTCTGGAGAGGCCACAACCGTTATTTCGCTTGGGGGCCAGGATTACCTGAAGACGGGCCTGGTTATTAGATATTTAAATAGCTGAAAGTAATAAATTTGCATTTGGATGCTTTAGAAGGAGCTGCAAAATTACATTTTGATTCCAAAGATGCTTCTTACTTTAGAGCAGAATCCTATCGATTTAAAACTTTCTTTTGTAACATTTAATACTATATTACTATCGTTTATTGTCACTTTTCCTCAGAAAATATTCTTTTGTTTTTAGTAATTATATCTGCTTAAAAAACTCATTTAAACACAAAAATAAATCTTTAATTATAACCAAGTTTTGACTGAAGGAAGGATTCCCACTGTTCTTTAAGAGCTTTATTTAGAGAATAATATTTTAGAGATTTTTAAGATAAAGTGTTTCTAAAGTGATTGCTAAAATGCTGCAACCACACTGCTGTTCTAAAAATGGGTTAATTTGATAAAAATTATAAAGTTTTTTTACTTTTTACAAAATGTATATTGAAACATATAGTTTTCAAAACAACCAAAACAACCATTTTGTTATATTTTAAAAAATTTATAAAAATAGCTCATTTTCCCCCTGTTAACACCAGAAACCGATTTACTTTAATAAACATATTATTTCATAAAATAAATATATATTATATAACTATTTTATTTAAAATGAGTACAAAGTTTGTGTAATTATCTTAGTATTCCACATCTTTTCATAAAATATATAAAAAAGCTTTTTTTATCAAAAAATATTTGTTTTCAATAATAAGAAAAAACTTGAAAACAAAACGCTTTTTTATTGGGCGCCTTCAGTATATATGGTTGAATTCGAGTTGCCTTCAAAATTTTTTGCTTTATCAAAGATACATTTAGGATTTTACATTCTCTATCATTGAAGTTACAGTGTATTTAAATAAATAAAAGATGAATATACTCACGGACTTAAATCAAAATTTTTAAATTTTATTCCGTTTTATTAAATTTAAATTTTTAAAAATTTTTAGGTTAGTTTAGAGTTAAGCTTGAAACCAAATCTTTCCTAAAAAAAACGTAATCATTCTCTTGGCTAAAGTCTTAACTTTAATATGAATACACGTGAAGGTACCATGTTTCATGTTAATAAAGTATAAAAATTTAATGAGGGCTTTTCACTCCATTTAATTTTTTTTTTTTTTTTGACTTTACGTGGTCACGTCTGCTTTTCATCATTTATTTTTTAATTGTAAACTTTCGGTTGTTTTATGTTCATTAACTTGATTTCTTCTGTTGATTTTCCACCCTCCTTTTTGATCGACGAAAAATTTACTTCGATTGTTTTGCTGTAAGCTTGAGTAAATTTTATATAAGTATCTAAGTAAGTCGTCAACTTTTTCTTTTTTGTTATTCTGGATTTTATCTTGAAAAATATTTCCTAGCTCACTGAAAAAATATCTCAGCTTATCATTAGTGTTTTTAACTATAATATTTTTTTTGTCAACGGAAACTTGATTAGTTGTTTTTTTAACGGCGCTATCGTCGAAATCACCACACGGTAAACAACTGCATATATCTGGCTGACAATTGACACGAATCCATTCTTTCTAAAAATATTCAGGGTATATAGATGCATATAATATAATTGGTATAAAATGTTTCATAAGAAATAAAAATATTATTACTGTTTAAATTTAATACTGTTAACTCTCACACCAATTAGTTACCATACAATTATAAACATATATGTTACATACATTTAAGTTTTCCTTTTTTGGACTAATTTTTTAAACCGCTTTGGACTATCAGTATTTGTGCATATAAATGTTTGATAGTCTTCAAATCTTAAACATGTGGCGCTTCAGTTTATTCATGTGGTATCGAGGATTGCGTTTAACTCCAACTAGAGACTATAACCTGCAACCATGGATCAGGAGTAAGTGCTTATCTTCATAAGCACTTACTCCTGATCCAAGAAGATCCATTGAAGAACAAAGATATAAATGGCAAAAAATAAGAAATAAAAAGTTAGAAAAATAGCAGATAAAAAACAAGACATCAGTGAGCTATCAATGAGTCACAGGAACATCAAATTTAGAATTTTAGCTGCGTCTCAGTAAATAATAAATATAATGATTGCAGCAGCTCCGTATAATGTTTGAGAAAGGTAACAGAAATAGTGACATATTCAAACTTTGATGTGTTTATATCACATATGTGAAGGCAAACATAAATGTGAGGGCAACAACTTAAACTTGATACCTGATACTATTATAAACTTGAATATTATGGATTCAGAAACAAAAATTTACTTCGGTTTAAATTATCAAACAAATAGAAAGCGATTTATATAATATTATTCAAAAGAAAAAGTTTAATATAAAGATTATTGTTCTTACTATACATTATATATATTTATCGTCAAATTACAACGCGTATAACACTGCCTATTACTAATACACATATTTATACCATACAACCTCCGTACCACCATGTTAGTAACGATACTACTTATTTGATTTTATTTTTATTAATAATATTTTATTTTTTCTTTATTACTAATATTTAATCGTTTTTTGCAACTGCAGTTGTCTTGATTTTTTGCGATTGCATCAATTGAAAGCATTTGGAGTTATTACTAATTGTACCTTTATATATAGACATTTAATTAATTTTTAAACACTAAAATTTTTTACTATGAAATTTAAAATTTCTTGATGAATATCAGTCTAGTTGAAAATAGTACAAAAAATATTTCATCAACTTGTTGCTCTCACGTTTGGGGCAGGGGGGGCTAAGATTTTAGGGTTTCTTGTTCCCATTCTCCTATCACAGTAATTTTTTTTAAAAAGAATCTTTTCGTCATACATATGAATGTAAAAAAATTTGGAATATTCTTGTTGTTTATAAGTTGGTTATTTCAACCTTTCTAGGCCACTGAGTAGTAGAAAATCACTTAGCAAAATTTTTTCCATTTGAAATGAAAAAATGAAAAAAAAATTTTCTATATATATATATATATATATATATATATATATATATATATATATATATATATATATATATATATATATATATATATATATATATATATATATATATATATATATATATATATATATATATATATATATATATATATATATATATATATATATATATATATATTAATAAAGCAACTATTCTAGTTAAATGGTTTTCAGCGTATAAAATTTTACTTGATATATATATTCGCAAAAAAGCAGCCCAATCAAAGTACAACTAAAAATATAATATATTTTTAGTTGTAATATATATTTTTTATTTTTTGTTTAAGGTGTCCCAAGAAGATTGGTGTAAGGTAAGATAAGGTGCCTCGAGCGTCGTGAAAGTACTCTGTGAGCCTGCGTTTAAATTTCTGATTTTAAATAATTTCACCCTACAAGCTCTGTTTACTTATACTATTATTAAAGGTATTAAAGTTAATAATTTAACTGTCAAAGGAATATTTAATAAAAATTCGGGCATTAAGTATTTACAATCTAATATGACCCTGAAACAATTTTAATTAAATGTCGTTTGACAAAAGTAGAAAGCAATTAGTAAATTATATAGTAAACTAGATAGCAAATTAGCACCAATAAAAGAATTGTTTGATCGCAATGTTGATACTTTAAAAAACCTTTCTTCACCTTCAAGTTGCACAATAATTGACAAACTTCGCTTTAAATGCTCATTTTGTGAGTATATACCATTAAAAGTGGATAAATACACTATAAAGTTATTAATGTTTTGCGATTCAAAATCCTAGTATATGATAAATAGTAAGATATATACAGGAGAAGATTTTACATTACGGAGGAGTTGCTGAGTATTATTTATTGGAATTTTCAACTATTATTCGTGGATCTAACAGAAATATCCCATATGATAACAGATTTACTTCTATCCCTGCAGCCAAAAAATTGCAATCAAAAAATTGTTATAACAGTTGGAACAATGAAAAATACTGAAAACAGAAATACCTACCGTTTCTTGGAAACAAAAGGCCGCCACAAGAACATATCGATGTTTGCTTTTCACAAGGAATTTATTTTGCTATCAGATGTGTCTCCAAAGCTAAGCAAAGAAAAAAGAAAAAAGAGTTAGTACTTTCCACTATGCACTTTTAACCAGACCAAGACAAATACGTTCATTTACCAGAAAAAATACATTTTTACGAAGGTAATGTGTGGATACAATCAAACAAAGGGGTGTATTGATACAACCAAACAAAGGAGTGTATGGATACAATCAAACAAAGGTGATATGTGGATACAATCAAACAAATGGGGTATGTTGATACAATCAAACAAAGGGAGTGAATATGCTTGATCAGATTTATCATACTTATGCTTCTCGGAAACAAAACATACTTATTATTTTTTACGGAACTTTAAACGTCGTCGGAATCAATTCTATAATATAAATGCTTTAATCCAGCGCTCCCGCTTTTTTAAGAATAGAATAACTTATCTGAAGACTTATCTTATAAAATCTTACAAGAGGATCGATTTTTATATAAATTTTTTAAGATGCATTTCCAAGTAAGTATTTGCGGTATATTATGATAAAGTGTTATTTTATGCTCCAGTCCGTTCAGAATTTAAATCTGGAAGATATTTTTACTCGTTTTGCTCAACGAGGAAAAAAAAGGTTTTTCTCTATGTATTTTTAACTTATATTAAAAATTAAAAACGAGTGACATTTCAAAAAGTTATTTGTTATGAAAATACCTAGACTTTTACGATTTTTTTCAGTGACGAATCCAGGAATTTTTGGTGGGAGGAGGACGGGAGGATGTTAAATTATTTTTGTATCTTGTACCATATTTGTGTCTCCCAAAAAATAAAAAAAAGGTTCTCAATTTCTAAGATATTTTAGAACTTTCAGATTCTGGTGGGAGAGGGGGGTGCATACCCCATACGTACATCCTCCCCCCTGGATCCTTCACTGGATTTTTTCAACTATATTATGTGAATAACTTAGATATAATTCAACTTTAAATAGTTTATTTTAAGGTTTAAAAAATCTCACTCATTGAAAATCTAAAGTATTGATCTACTACAAGTTAATGAAAAAAGCGACATTTATTTTAATTAAATATTGAGGAAGCGAAAAGAAGTCTTAGTAAGGAACTTTTCATTACAATGTTATGAAAAGTTTTTATAAAAACCTTTATGAAATTTTTTTTTGTTTTAAAGAATACTTCCATATTCTAGGGTTCGGACTGTTGTAATTATAATTGTAAAAACTAAATATTACAATACATTAATATTGTATTGTAATACCAGAGATGTAATTAAAACATTATTTATTGTTATTGTATTGCTGTGATGAAAAACAGTTGCAATAACTATTTTATTGTTTTTGTTCTAACAATAAATTGAAATCCTAAAGCTATTGTATTGTATTGCTGTAATGTAAAACGATCACAAATATTGTGATCGTTTTACATCACATATTTATACTTTATATTGTTTTATGGGGTAAAAAACAATTACAATTACTATTGTATTGTGTTGATGAAAAACAATTACAATAACTATTGTAGGGTATTGTAGTGCTATTTCAAAGTCCAATAGTTATTGTATTTTAAAGTATTTAGATTCTTTTTTTACGCATTTATTATTATTTGCATACAAAAAAAATCAAAGGCGCCCGTGACGCTTGTTTTTAACAGTCATTTACATAAATTTTATTTGTTTTGAGAAATGAAGTGAAGCCAGAAAAGTCAAAGAAGTATATATATTACGTATACTTAATAAATATTAAACTTAGGAGCGCTTGTAGCACCCGTTTTTAGCAACCATTTACATATGAGAACTACTTTTACCTTGCAACAATTTTTCTACATTTTCAATTTGCTCATCGCCTATTAAATTGTACTGTTAAATTTTGTAGGGGGGTCATTCTTGAAAAATGAGGCAGTTTAGAATACCAAATAAGTTTTGTTTTTGATTTATGTAACCAAATTTATGTATAACTTTGCAACTAGACTTAAAAGTCCAGTTACTTTTAAGAAACATATACACTCATAAAAGCCTCAGAGAAACAAAAGTCAAAGTTATGTTAGAGTTATATTTGAGTAACTTTCGAAACAGTTGGATAAATGCCTAGTGTAAAAGCAGATAACTAAGTGGAAGATATGGTTGTAATTGATCAAGTATACATGTTTATCCCTATCAGTAAAAGAGGAACAGGTCAGATCAAACTCACTTTTATAGAGCTATTTAAAGTTTGCAACTAGGAAAAGTGATATTCTAACTAGGAAAAGTGATAATCTCAACTAGGAAAAGAGATGGTCAGTAAATAAAATAGAAATAAAACTAATAGTTATATATTAGTTGTACCCTCTTTCAAGGTAAGTTAAAAGTCACCTTTTCATAGACTTGGAGACTGGACTATTAAAAAAATTTATTTATTTTGACATTACAATACCTTTTTTCATTACAATAGCAATAAATTGTTATTGTATTAAAAAGATGAATTTTAATACAATATTTATTGCTATTGTAGTGGGTCATTACATTTTTTTTTCATCCTTAACAATCAGCTCGCTTTAATGTGCCATGCAATGAAAATATTG